AAAAAAAAAAAAAAAAAAAAAAAAAAATTAAATTGACCTACTGTTTAGTACATTAGTAGCAAGACCCGTCAATTGAAAGTTGCAGAACAGTAGTTGCAGTTTTGGAGGATTATTGTTATTATTAAATTGGAACAGAAGCAAAAGTACTTTGTGTTATTGATTTTAAAAAGGTATAACTCTGTTTGGGAAGCACTTTATACGTCTGAATAGAAGTCAGCTTCACAGTCTTGAAATCACTGCAGTAGCACTTCAGTCTAGTTACTGAAAATTTCGCATTTACGGAGGTCCAGTTTTAGTTAGATGTTCATGACGTAATCGGGACTTTGGCACAGTTTCATCTTAGCAACGTTTATTGCGTAAGATAAGTGGCAGTCAGGCGAAAGGGTTGGAAGAATATAGTAGATACGATTGAACGTTGGCGTGCAGTTCGCTTAATTTTTCAATATAATCTTTGAAGTTTGGGATCCAGCGTTGTTCTGCAGCAACGGTAGCTTTCTTATAGTAACTGTTGATGGTCAAAACTTCTCCTGTTTCCCGAGTGAAAGTTCAAAAATCATGATACTGGAATCCTGTTGTGCTGCTTGGTAATTTCATTATCGTATGGTCGAGCACTTTTGTGCAACACTGTCACAGCATTAGGAGGGTTGCTTTATGATATTGGTTGAATTTGAAAAGAATCAGAACTTTTGCAAATTTTTTAAAGCGTAAGTATCTTTGTGTATAGATATGTCAAGAAAATGATTTTTTATCTGCACTCAATAGGCAATATAAAAGTGATCCTTACATTTTTCTGCGTGATGAATGCGTCTCTCCAGATGCAGCTTTTTACTTCCCAGTGAATTTTATGCGACCTCAACTTCTACTTCTTTATTGTGCCATTCTACCTTAGATGCCTTCGGCTGAAGAGTAGCTCGTAGCAGTGTGTCCTTTGAGAGCTCATCCATTTAGTCTTTGAGAGTTAAACTGCTACCCCAAAAATGACATTCACATATTTCGCTTACGTTTGCGGTTATCGTTCATGTCACTATCTTTACTTCTTGATTTGAAGCCTTAGGACTGGAACTAGACTGTGTTTTTAGTGTTGTGACGTTCTCTCAACATTGATGTGTTACGGGTTGTCTATGTCGCTTGATTTCCAAATTTTTAATGACAAATTATGATCAGGCAAATATAACCGTTTACCGTTTTTAATTCTTTTGCATATGGAAGCTTTATTTTAGGAGTAATTCGTAAATTTTTAGTTATATAGAAGCTATTTTTTCTAGTCCCGAAATCAATTTCTCATGGTGTTCAGAAACTGTCAGTGACCTATTTGTACACACTTTTTGATATAAACTTGCTTGGGAACTCAAATAGTTTTGTTCCGATTTGATTCATGCTTGGTTTGAAATGAAATCATAATATCGGTAAAATGATATGGTTAATCGGCAATTGAACGCAGTTTTTAAAGTGAATTTAAACGATAGTCAGTATTGTTTTGGCTTGGTAGTTCTTTGTATTTATGCTTCTATTTGTTATTATCTCATCTTTCAAAGTTTTGTTCACAAATTTGCATTTCTTCATTTCATGATGTTTTTTAAGAGTTGCACTGCAAACAGAAATATTCCGATTTTGATGGGTCATGGAGATCGAGATTTTCTTGTCCCTTTGCAATTCGGGCAACTTACTGAAAAATACTTGAAGGCGTTTAATCCCAATGTTGAACTGAAAGTATATCCGCAAATGGAACATAGTAGTTGTGAGGAGGTAATTTTTTGGCTTTTATTTTAAATGTTTGTAGTTGGCTGGAAGTACGTTGGTAAGCTTAAATTGTTCTGCATTTATTTTTTGTATGTTTTAATATGACTGTTATTGTTTTTATTTTACTAGGATGATTAATTGAAAATACACTGGGGAGGTCTTTTTTAACTAAGGTATTAAATTTATTTGGTAAATTTTATGTTTAGCAGTTAATTTTTTATATGACCTACAGTTTGGAAGTTGTAGTAGAAGAAGCTGGTGCTTAGTAGCAGTACCGTTGGCTTTGATAAAACTTGCCTATCGCGAACTGTATTGGCTGAGTTATTTCAATAGTCAACAGGAATGTTGTTGATATTTTAAAAACCTTACATGAACCGCTCAGCTCTTTAAACTGCTGAGCAAAAAGGCTTTTGGAACTTCAACAGAAAAGCTGTTTATCTGATTAGCTTTGGGCAAGTAATGCAGACTGCTCATTAGTTTGAAGTCTATCTCGTAGCCGTGGTGATTTTCCTTACAACCGTATTTTTAGCCTTAATTCTCTGAAATTTTTTTTTTTGAAAAGTTGGTATTTGAAATAATGTTGTTAGTGCATGCCGATTTAGTACTCTCGGTAAATTCAGACCTTTCATATTAGTTAATTGACGTTTCTCTGCTCACGATTTTCGCTGTTTGGCGTATATGGAAGACGACTCCAAACGCACTTATATCATCATATTCTTCCCCCATTTCGCAAATACTCATTGTATAAAACTGTTTTCGATTACTTGTCGATTCCTTATTAGAAATTGATGCTTTAAGAAGGTTTTGAGGCTTGAAGGCTGATTTTTCACAAAGTCGGTCGGCATGTTCAAATTTATTTCTGCTCTAAACTTCTTCTACGCACCAGATATCATTCTAATGCGTTTCGCATAAGTGATTGGCTCGTTGATTGGTCAGTTTTGGATTTTATTATGCGCAATTTCATCCTCGTTTTTTATACATTGTTAAGAATCAGTAACACGGGAAATCTGAACATTTTATCAGATGTTATTATTGAGGTGAAGTGCTCGCTTTTTATTGTACTACTGCTGTTCAGCTGGCAATGCAGGGACCAAATTTTAACCCTTCAAGATGACTTTCTAGGATAAAGCCGGTAACGAAGCCGGTTTTGTGCTTTTGACGACAAAACGGCATTGCCTTGAATTCAAATGAATTTAGGCGGATTCAGATTAAGTTTTACGCTTCTTTCACTTGGTGTTTTGCACGTTTTTCAAGGTTCACAGATTAGGGTGAGAAAGAACTTAGAATAATGAACTCATCGCCAATTTTTCCTTCATGAAGGCTGATGCAGGGTGTAAAATAACAACAAAGACCTGTCAGAGGGTCGCTTGGGAAGCGTCGCTCGAAAACTGAAGTTTTAGTTTTTGCGCGGTTAGAATCATTTCAGGAACGTTGGTTTTTATGATTTGTGGACGGATTCTAGTAATTCTATGCCCTACGAAAACATTGCAAATTTCAGTTAATGTGCCCTTTAATGCAGAAGACTTTAAAAAAGTACAACTGCTGGAGGAATGCAAATAGGAAAATTGGAAATAAGTTGGGGTGGGGAAATGGCAGTGCAATTAAGGATTTCCCGGTTTAAAAGATAGGATCTTCTAAGGTGAGGAAGCTTTGGAATTTGGTCATGTTTGATTTAACCGTGGTTTCTGCTAGGTTATAAATTTTTGCTACATATTTATGTAATTGGTCAAATTTGGATTCATATGAAGGCTTGTAAAAGAACATTCAAAGTCATAAGTTTTATACCAGAAATACTAGCAGAAATCGGGAAAAAGTAAATCTCGCAGTCGTGTAGCAGAAAACTGACCATCAAATTTTTTTCAAGGGATGACTTTGTGCAAAATTTTTCATTTTCCAAAGTAGAAAAAAACTCGAGAATGGGTAGGCTTCGAATTTATAGTTACAGTCAGTTAGATAAGACAAAAGTAGTGTATTTTCAGTCTCTTTGGTGAATCTGAGTGAAACGCTGCGCTAGAATTTATTTTCTGACGACAAATTACAACTGCGTGAAAACAGCGGAAAGTCAGGCACAATTTCTGTTGAATACACTGGAACTCTACGCCTTGACTCATTTAACTCATCGTTACTCTAGTCCTCACGGTTTCTAATTCTGGAATTTTTTGTTTTTTGAAACAAGGTTTTGCATAACTTTTGATTAGGATGCTACGTGTTGCAGCTCTTAATTCTTTTTTTTTTTCTATTATTTTATTTTGTGTTATAAATCGTAAAAAAGTGCAATATTCGTAGTTTGAAAGTCATTGGCTTGTATGTTTCGAAACTGCTGAACCGCACCGAAAAATTGGGAAGATGCGCAATCGGAGGTGAGTGTCGTGCATGGAAAATGAAGATTTTTTGCATCTTGGAAAGGGATAACTTGGCGGGAGATTTTTTAAGGTTTTTGGTTTCTGAAGTTAGGTATCAGGACTTGATATTCGTCACAAAATTTGAAACTTTAGCTGAGAAAATGTGCGACATGGCTTAGAATTGCCGAGTTTTATTTTAATGCTCAAGGGGGAAACATTTGAAAAATAAACTTTTGTACCTTCATGCTTGAATTTTTTTATATTTCAACTTTTCTTTTATTCTTTTTTTCTTTTGAAATGAAGAAAACGTTAATTTTAAAGAATTTTTGAGGATTTGAAGTGAAGAAAAAGTTGTTTCCTTTTATTTATTTGTTTTCTGCGGTGATGGAAGTTGACGCTTGGCAAAATAGCAACTAGATTTTACAGTTAATTTGTTCTTATTTTTCTTCGTCGATTTCTGTTTTTTCTTAATAAATTTTACTTTTGGTTTAGAGTAGAGATGGTTTTTTGCTTGAAGTAGGGTTTTTATAGAGCGGAACTTTTTCAACTGGTCAGCGTTATTCGTGTGGAGGAGTTTGCTCATGTTGGCCACTTCCTCTGGGGTTGACACATTGTTTTTACTCACATTTTTATGAGAGACATCAAAGCCATCGTTTAAAAATGTGATCTTTTTTTTGAGGTTTTTGCATTTTGTAAAATGTTATTTTTCAGGAAAGGAACGATGCGCGAAAGTTTTTGAAAAAGCATTTGCCACCAAAGTGATGAGCAGCATGCATTTCTCGCCTGGTGACTTTCACTTGGTACCATGATGAGTGGTGTTCCACTTTATAAATAATTTCTTTTTCGATTTTTGTATTTCTCTATTTTTCTTGGATTTTAATCTCATTAGTTACTGTAGTGAATATTTACATTAATTGGTGTTAATGATTAGACAAAATTGTTTTCAAATTTTTATTATGATGTGGTATTTTTGAAGTGAGAGGCACTTGTAAGCAGACTGGTCTTTGTTCTTGCTGTAAATGACATTGTGGAAATTACTTGTAATGAAAATTGTTCTATTAATTTCTTTCTCACTAAATTGGTGTAGGCTCTACGGCTGTTTTTTCATAATTGCTGATTTTTGGTTTTAAATATGTTTATTGTTTTCAGAAAGCTGACAAAAAACTAAAAAACCATAGAAAATGTAGCTTTGTTTTCTTTGAAAACCTTTTAGTTCTATTGCTAAGTTTCACTAATTTGTCAACAGTTCGCATATTATTTTCTTGCTGGAAGTCAGGCGAAAATTTCTTATTCTTCTGATACGAATTGTTCGTTTTATTCTTACACAGTTCTCAGTGTTTCTTTTAGCTGTTTTCCAGTTGTTATCTTTGGTAATTGGGAACTTGTTAAAGGTGTGGTTCTTTGGATACTCCATGATGTGATAGTTAGTGTTACAAATAGAAGTGATGTGTTTAAAGTGGTCAGGCTTATCATAGAGGGATTTGTGTTGTAAATTGCTCGTTGGTCTAGATAAAATGAATTGTTTTTCATATATAACCGTTCTGCACTGTCGTGAAAGTAGGAAAAGGAAATTTCCAAAAAGGTGTCACCTTAGATTAATTTGGAGTGATAGAGTTCATGTTATAAAGCGAAGAGTGACTTTTGAGTGAAGATTTTGTAGATAACAGCATCATCTAAGGCGGCCCTTGAAGTGGTTAGGGCGGGGAGTACTGTAGCAGATGTTTGGGTCTTGTTTTGTGACTGTTTGGTTGGTACGGTAATAGGGGTGGCGGAATGTTCATTTACCCATTCATATTCGTAACCGGCATCACTGTTGGACAGTGACCACTATTTTTAAGGTGGAGAATGCCATATATTTTGCATGTACGGAAGTGGCTTCATTTCGATCTATAGTGAACAGGGTTTTTTTACTCGAGATTATCACATTTTGAGCTTTTAGCAATTCTCGGAAGTTTTCAGTACAGATGGGAAACCTTTCAGGGGTTAACTGCTCGATATCGTTGTAGTGTGGAACTTATGGCAGCGGTTGGGAAGTTTTTCGTTGAAAATATCTAAAAAGAAGTTTGCACGTGGAAGATATGCAAAACAAACTGCATGGGTGACTGAAATAATTGTGGCTTTTCACTTGACAGTATGTCACAGATGTTTCGATTTTCGGTGGCAGGTCAGACTGTGTAGGCAAATTTAACCATTTTGGTTCTTCATTGCTACCGCTCAGGAAACTATTTGCTTGTTATATCAACCAAAGCAGCATCCCAGGTTACCAGTAAGTTATTGCGCGGCAAAGCAGTTTTTAATCACAACTTTTAAAATCTTATCCCTTTTTCAATCTTTTATAGCGTTGATAGCGGGTACTTACGGTATGTAGTAATTTACCGGATAAACAACAGAACTTAACTACAAACCTGCTTGTTCGTTTAGGAAGTAAGGTGCAGTCAGCAGCTAGCTCGAAAAGCAGATTCTTCATTGGAAATGGACTGGAATAGTCCCTCGCATTAAAGCAAAATAAACTGTTCACTCGCAGTAGATGTGCTTTGCATATTGCTTGATGTAGTTACTGTATATCACGGTATGACATTGCCCTGCAGCCGGCGACGCCGCAAACTGATAAGTGTATTAACCTCTGGCCCTTTGCCAGCAGTTTAGCTGGCAACTTTGTTGGCAACTACTTGGCATTGAATTTATGAAGTGTTAGTGCTCCAGACTGGAGGACAGTATTCACTCCGCTTGATTTAAAGTCACTTCTCTATTCGTGCTCAGTGTTTCATCTGTCAGAACTGTTTTACCAAAGTGTAACTCTACTTTTTTTTTTGGATGCGTTTAATCGCTTAGTTGGCCAGGAGGAGCGGAGCTACTTTTTCGTTTTTTTTCACGGCGAAAATACTCTGAAAATGAGCTTAAAAAGTTTTAATAACAATGCATTTGTTCTTCACCTCCTAATGTATGTTTGGTATAAACCTAAATAAATAAGAAAATAAATAAATTAATATATATATATATATATATATATGTATATGTATATATATATGTTTGATCATATATTGTACTCATTTTTGCTCAACGCTGGTAGTGGAGTTTCCCACTTCCTCTGTGCAGCAATATCTTTCAAAATTTAGTTTATCTTTGAAATTATTGATTTTGGTTTAGGCTACCGCAAAATGAAATGGAGGAACTTAGTTTTCCTTGTACTATGTTTGACCAGTTTCTTTGCTGTGGAGCAAGGATTTTATGTTCCTGGAGTTGCTCCAGTCGAATTTAAAATAGGCCAACGAATAGATGTTAAGGTGAGTAAAAAGCTCAGAATATGGTCATCTTTTTCAGTTAAAGTTGATATTTTGAACTTCCGAAGGTAGCCATTTGGAATGAATGACTTAGTGTAAGTATGCTTAGTGTAAATTTTGAATGAGTTCTTCTTTGTCTGTTCTGTTTTCACTTATGATCTGTTTCTGCTGATTACCGTTTAACAAGTTTTGTGGGAAGTTTCTTCTAGGACTTGGAAAGCTATTTGAATGGACTGTTATACTTATGCATGTTTTTAAATTCTTCTTAATATCCTTACTTACCTCATGAAAAACTAATAGTAACTTTTCAGGGGATAAAATTGACATCAACGAAGACTATAGTACCATATGAGTATTACATGTTACCATTCTGCAGGCCGCCTGGAAATAAAATACACTATAATTCTGAGAACTTGGGTGAAGTGATGAGGGGTGACCGTATTGTTAATACACCTTTTCAGGTTACTGATAAGTTTATGTTCATTAAGGCTGTCTTTTGGGTCTGGACACTTCTGCTTCTAAGTTCTAGTATAATTTTTGGATTTCAAGGCTGAAGTCGAAATTGAAGAGTATTTTACTTCCTAACTTACGTCTTGTTATTAATTATTGAACAAGTATGTACTAATACTGACTTTCTCATTGAGAAACGCAAGACCTATTTTGGTCTACGTGTTTAGGTAGCAATGAGAGAGGACGTTTTGTGTAACACAACTTGTGAGGACCACACCAAACACCTAAGCGAAGCGGATTCAGAAACATTAATCCGGCGCATTAGGGAGGATTATCACGTTCATTTGTGAGGGTTCTTGATAATTCTTTAATCTTTGCAGAGATTAAGACAATAATGGAGGGGTCTTGATGTTTTGCTTTGTAGAGCTCATTTTTTTTCACTTCAGGGCTAAGACTATATTATAATAACTTCTGAACCCTGAGGAAGCTAATGGTATGGTTCTTCCAATGACAGGAAGGGTCTTTGAAAAAAACCAATTCGAGTTTCTTTTTTCCTCATATTTTTATTTGAATTAATCGATGCTTTCTTTAGGCTTGTTGACAATCTTCCTTGTGTCACAAGATATGAAATTAAAGAGACAGGAGAGGAATTACACGAACATGGTTATCGGTTGGGATGGGAAGATAAGGGTCACTATTTTGTTAATAATCACCTCGATATTGTTCTCAGTTATCATCAGCCAACACTTGGTGTATTTCGCGTCGTTGGTTTCGAGGTCTCTCCTAGAAGCATCGGCAAAGAAGATTATCATTTCGAGAACCATACTGTAAGATTTATTTTGCCTGGAAATTATTTTTTAAGTGTTACTTTATATGTTGAAAGATTGTTTTTAAGGGGTGCAAAATTAGAGATGTTTTTGGGCATCAAGAAGTGCTAAGTGGGAAAAATGATATAGTGTGGTCTTATTCTGTTAAATGGAAGGAGAGCAATGTACCTTGGGCAAGCAGGTGGGATACTTATCTCAGGATGAAGGATGTACAAATTCATTGGTTCTCAATCCTGAACTCTATTGTTGTAATTATTTGTTTATCAGGTTTGTCAACATGATTAGTAATTTTCTTGTGCCCAACTTGATAAATTTTGTTTCTTTCTTTGAAAATTGGTTTTTATAAAGTCTTTTTGCACAGGTTTTTTAAGTATTATCATAGTGAGGACTGTGCGACGTGATATTGATGAATACAATATTAAGGATGATGATGTTAGTTTATATCTTCTTAATTATTTATTTTTTTTACAGCTATATCTTATTTTACAGTTGGGAAATACTTTTCTTATAGTTTTTATCACGGTACTTTTCTAGGAAAGGCCTCTAGAAGAAACTGGCTGGAAGCTTGTATATGGTGACGTTTTTCGACCACCGCAAAATTCAATGCTTTTTGCCAATATCGTGGGGTCGGGTATTCAAGTGGTGGGCATGGTTGCCGTAACTGTATTTTTTGCAATGCTTGGTATGCTTTCACCAGCAAGTCGAGGATCGTTGATGTCTGCAGCAATATTTCTGTATTGTTTTATGGGTTTGGTCGCCGGCTACCACACTGGAAGATTGTATAAAACATTGAAAGGTAAGCTTTTGTTACTTTTAGCACATTTTAATCTGGTCGTTGCTGGATAGGGCATTCTCTCAGTAAAAAAGACTGCCAAGGTAGAATTGTCTACCTATAATCTGATGATGTTGAAAAACTGAATGTTTTAGGGTCACAACCAAAACGATGCGCTTTTCGAACCGCTGTGTTGTTCCCTTCGATCATATTAGGAATAGGATTTTTTCTCAATTTCTTTTTAATCGGGAAACACTCATCAGGCGCTGTGCCATTCACCACTATGATCGCTCTTTTAATGTTATGGTTCGGAATTGACCTTCCTTTAGTTTTCCTCGGCTTCCACTTTGGATACAGAAAACAGGTTTCATGCCTTTACGAATATTAACTGCGATTTATTTTTTAGCGACTATATATTAATTGTAATTAAGAAACGAGAGTTGTGTGGCATTTTTTATTTTTTGAAAAGTATTTCTCGATTAGATGTGATTGAATTTTTTTGCTTTCTTGTATTTCGGATTAACAGATAGGAATTTGTTTTTATTAAGATTTATTCACATCCGGTACGTACCAACCAAATCCCACGGCAGGTTCCCGATCAACCTTGGTATCTCCACACGTTACCATGCATGCTTCTTGCAGGAATACTTCCTTTTGGAGCCGTTTTTATCGAATTGTTTTTCATATTTTCTGTTAGCAACTTTATTTTTCTTTTTGAGGAACTTACTCCTCCTTAACTTAGTAGTGCTGCGAGGACATGATTTGTTCACTTTTTCGTTTCTTTCTAATTTATATTTTTTAATAATTTAAAACTGTTTGGATAAGTATTTTCTACTTTTTCTCTAGTTTTTAAAGTGACCATGTAAGATCATTCAATCGTGTAATCATACCTTTTGTCTAGATGCAACCTTTACTTTCGTTTTTCAGGCTATATGGGAAAATCAATTTTATTATCTTTTTGGATTCCTGTTTATTGTATGCGTTATTCTTTTCGTCTCCTGTGCGCAGATATCTATAGTAGTTGTTTATTTCCTTCTTTGCGCCGAGGTCATTGTTTTGCTTTTTACTATATATCATGTTCTGTGACCATTGGTATAGACGTCAACATCGTTTGTAGGCAAAAATTTTTGATTTTAAAGTATTTTTAGAACTATCATTGGTGGTGGAAGTCTTTCGTAATCAGTGGTGGGTCGGCAGTGTATGGTAAGTGTTATTTTCCGGATTTAAACACTAGAAATATCACCAGTGATGAATGAGGTGAAGACTTTTCAAAAATTTTAAAGAAGCTTGCCTCACTAGGTCTTCTGCACGGCTTCTTTAAATGCTTTATCAGAAAAAAATTATCTGCGAAAAGATTGTATTTTAAATTTTTCTGGGATTATCTGAATGGTAAGATTAGAAATTTCAAACCATTGTAGTTTATGATATAGTCCTTTTTTTCTCAAATTATGCCTTTTATCTTTGGTTATTTAACTTGATCATGCTTGCAACTCTATAATTTTCAGTTATGGGTTATGCAGCGTTCTATTATTTCACAAAGGTAAGCTTCAATGTTCTGTTTGAAAGATGTTTGCAGAAGCTCAAAAAGTGAAACGTTGTTTTTAATTTGGATTAGATTACTTTTTTTAATTTCAGTTTTTGTTGCACTATATGTGTCACTATTAAACATCAAAACTTTTTGCAGTTGAACATCGTTGGGTTCATACCAACTTTGCTGTACTTTAGCTACAGTTTCTTGATGGCCCTCACTTTTTGGTTGTTGACAGGAACGATAGGATTTTACGCAGCATATTCATTTATATGTCGCATATACGGCGCCGTCAAGATCGACTAGTCCATGGCACACGACTGGCGTCCTGTAAAAGACATACTCATTCCACCACACGCCTTGTGATGAGTGCGATATTTCCTGTAAATTTTTGAGTCATTTATTGTTGTTAACTCGGTTCTTTTCATTGCTCCAATCTCGTTCAAAGAGAAGTAGGCAAGATTGAGGCCCGTCTCCGAGTTAGAGTTGACGTACATAGTGAGTGCAATTAACGGGAACTTCGCTCAGATCGGCTGCATTTGGCTCCCCAAGACTCGCACGGCCGGGTCCTCGAACTCTTGTTTTATTGTGCTACATTTTTTTTTAACGTTTAGATGAACTGAACACATAGTTGGGAAGCCATTGTCATGATTTTTCATATTATTTATTAGTTTATAAAGGTTATGGATTCAATTTTGAAGGCTGTACGGTACTACGGTAGATGGGTAAGATATCTGGTAAATAAAGACATTTGAGCAAATGTGTTAAAGGAAAAATGCGTCGAACAACGATAGGAATACTACTATCGTTAGGCCTTAGCAGTTCAAGTGAAAAGGCAGAAGTAGCAATCACAAGTAAATTTACACAGAGTTCTATCACAACGTAGACCAATATATAAATTCTAAAACGCTGCTAAAATCACAGAACAAATGGAAGTCTGAAGGCACAAACATGAGAAAAGATCGGGGACAGAACTTATATCTCTTTCAAAACCCAATCACCATGCTATCACCAAAATGCAGGGAAAAAAGTGGTGGCATTCATTTCTGCTGGCCAACACTATTCACTTCTTTCGAGAATTTCAAAAATTAAGGAAGGGCATAGCAATTTAGCTAATTTTGGTGATCGATTTGAAAAAGTCTTTGCAACTGAGAATTCTTGACATAGGCCAAGGGCTCAAAAATAGCGTTGCAGGCATCAAATTCTGGAAAACTGGCCATTTACAGCATTTCTGCGACGTGCAAACAACTTTCTGCCGTCACTTTTTTTTCGTATGATCAATCAGCAGATCATTGTCTGAGTCTTCATCACCAGAGTCTGAGCCACCAATATTTTCAGCGGTGTGTGGTTCACTTTCGTCCAACTGTAAGTGATCATTGCGTACAATACTGTCTGAGACCCTACTCCAATCAGACTCTCGAGCGTGAACTCCTCTCTGAAGAGTATTCCTTTGATTTGCAGGCTTAACTGTTATGATCAGATTTTGCGCATTAGCCACCATCATATCAGTCACTTGATCGAGGGTTTTCCCCTGGACCTAAAAAAGAAACAG